CAAAGCTGCCTTCGAGTTCCAACCAAAGCCAGACAGTCCCACTTCTCCCGTTTGAGTCTGGGTCCCCAGAGATTCACCCGGATCTGGAGCTCAGAGTCTGAAGCTCCCTCCCGATTGAAAACAACAACCGCGCCCTCCGCGCCGCCAGCCCGCTCCGTGCGCACTCGCACCTTTGAATTTCACTTCAGCACTACGCCTCCTCTGAGTCTGGGTATGATATTCTCTTTACTCCTACTTGTAGAATTTCCACTCGGCCAGCCCTCCTGTGGTTCTGGATGGTGTCCGTTCCATGTTTCAGGCGTAATTTGAATTGGTTGTTGGAAGCAGCAATCTCCGGCTTTAACCTATGCCGCCATCTTGGTTCTCCTCTCCAAACAGAACTTTTAAAGATTGTTTTTTTCTTTTCATGTTTCTCGTGTTAATGATTCACTCCTTAATCTACCTGAGATTGTTTGATGTCATGTGTAATCATACATGAATTTTTTTTTAGTTTAATTCTGGATCACTGGATTCTCCCAGGATAGTACATATCTATTCCTCTTCCACTTCCCTCTGTTGTAGTTACCATACCAATATAACATTTGCATGTTGCTTAATTATTTGTTGATAAGATATTCACAGCCTTGCCCACATGTTCTGGGTTGGGAGGGGAGGTTGCTGTGTGCAAGGTGCTCGGAGAGTGTGCCTTCGTTCCTCTGGATGAGTGAGCCAGGCTTTAAAAATCTATTTTTAAATGCGGTCACAAATCCTGAAGAGGAAATAATTTTCTGCAACAACTTCTCCCCATTCTTTGAACTTCTCCACATACCAATTATAAGCAATACAGAAATAAATAATAAATATTCTTGGCCTTCTGACAGCTTACAGTTTTCCAGGGGACTCAAGCACTTAGATGTTGCGTTTTAGTTTTCTTTTTCAGACTGAGATGAACTTGACACAAGGGATGGAAAAAGATTCATTCTGGCATAGAAAGAGAATATTAAAATTGGAATCAAAATTTACCTAAATTAAAATTTTTCCATTTTCATCTTTATCATGTGTACTGTATGTTAGTTCAGTATCATAATCTATAAGTAAGTGTACCGATATTGGTGGTATATGATCACATTGTTTTACTGCCAGGGCACAGGGTCATGCAAGTTTAGAGAGCATTGACCTAACATTACCTAAGGAAAAGCATGTCCTGCTGAGTGTTACCATGGCCGGACATGTGAAGTGCTGTAGGAACACAAATCAGCCATTGCAAGGGAGGGGCTGCAGGCAGAGAAGAGGGGTGATGGGGTGGTCAGGGGACTTGGGCCTGAGATGAGGAGCACTGGCCCAGTAATGAGAAGGGATTCATGAAAAGCAGACGATACATGTAGCAAGGTGGTTGTTTTTTATCACTGAAATTTTCAGTCAGGTAACAAACTTTTTTTTGTGATTATTTTATTGTATCGAGTAAGATTAATAATGATGATTGGGGGCAGCAGTGTAATTGTTAGCTTGCAAGATTGCCTTTTCTGAGCTGTGCACATTGTGTTCGCTGTTCTGAGTGTGCCATCCACTGGGAGAGGCTTGAGTTCAGACTGGACGAGGACTCTGCTCTCTGATGACCCAGTAGCCTCTGTAGACAGTGGGGCCTCAGAAATAACGTCATTTTTAGATTCTTAATTGGGATCCAGTAAACAATTGCTGGTCAGCCTCACACGGGGCACCACTTCGCCGGGGCGGACCGGCAGACCCTGAACGACGGATGAATGATTACTCTAACACACGTTTCTGTGAAAGAGAGGGCTAGGGAACTACTTGGCTATCGCCGCCAAGTAGCCCTGTTCGCCTGCCTCCTTTGGCTTTTATTGTCGTAACAGCTTGATCTAAAATTAACCTCAAGCTACAATCAGCAGGGTAAGTATCCTTGAGAAAGTATATGCTTCTACACGGTCGGGTGTAAAAGACTAAACAGAGATTCTAGCAAAACACCCCAGGGATGGGACTTGTTTGGAAAAGTCAGGCTCCCCTCAGAGACCTTTCAGAGAATCCTCCTTACAGACATTCCGACCAAGTTTTGTGCTTCCCCACAGTCTTCTATAATAATAACAGCATAATATGCTAATTAGACCAGACAACTTTGAAGATGAAGCTGGGACTGCGAGAGAAGCCCGGGTCCCGGGTATCAGAGGGAAGCCGGAGCCGGCAGCCGGGGGAGGAAGGCCTGCTCTTGCACGAATTTGGTGCATGAGGCCTCTAGTTGGTTGATAAAAATCTGTTAAGAGGGTAGATCTCATGTTAAGTGTTCTTATAATAAAAAATATTTAACCTCATAGGTCTTTTCTGTTTGCTGTAATGGCTGCGGTAATAAAAATATAGAAACCTGTGTTTATTGCTTCAGAACTATTCTTTTTTTTTCAAATATTTGAAAAAGCCATCTTTTTTGAGATGGCTTATACTTTGCCATTGTGATTAAGAAGGACGAGCTGTCCGATCTGCCCTCCCAGTGTCTGGGGAGGCCAGCCCAGCAGGCCCTGGCGGCCTTAGCGAACAGTCTGAAAACCAGGATGGGAGGTCACTGGCAACACTGCCATTTTGGGGCTAATTTAAACCCATTGCAGTGGGACAGAGTTGATTTTGAATATGATTGTAATTAATCTTCTTTTGTCAACTTCAGCTTGCCAACTCCGTAACTCCTTGGGATGTCTTGCTGAGCTTAATTGCAGCTGCCACGCATGATCTGGATCATCCAGGTGTTAATCAACCTTTCCTTATTAAAACTAACCATTACTTGGCAACTTTATACAAGGTTAGTGCCGTTTTATCATCAACATTTAATATTCCTGCATTCCTGAAAATGTTTCATGTTTTTAAGAAGTGAAAGTGGTTAACAAATGTTAGGATTTTAACCAGATTAATATTACTCCCAAATAATTCTTTATGTTCAGAAAGAGATTTATTACCATTAAATAACTCAGATATGCTTTTTTTTTTCTCTGTAGAATACCTCAGTCCTGGAAAACCACCACTGGAGATCTGCGGTGGGGTTATTGAGAGAATCGGGTTTATTCTCACATATGCCGTTAGAGAGCAGGTAGGCTGGATTCAGGCAAATTTAATTTGCTGTGAACTGTGAAAATTAACCTGGCAAAACAATTTTATAAGGTTTAAAATTACATTATTATGTTCAAGTGTTCCATAATTTTCAGGTTTGGGGGGGTTGTTAAATTTAATGGGTAAATTATTTTATTTTACAAATTTATATAAAAATTTTAGTAATTTAAACCTGTTCTACAGTACAGTTAATAGGATATTTTTAGTGAATTATTATGAAAGATCATCCCATGGATTTGAGTACTACATAAAACTCACTCCAAATGCACAATGGCTCAATCACAGTTTACTGCTTATTTATATAAATAGTATAACATATTTCCATTTTGTGCTAATTTAAACAAAACCTTAAGTTCTAGAAATAAATAGAAAGTAAACATTCTGTATAATAAATAGATTTATTAAAAATAAAGCTTCAAAACTGATAAGAAGTAAAAATTCTGCAGCTATAGGTCACTTCTGGAGCTATAGGATAAAATAAGGAAAGAACAGAAAATACTAATTTTTTAGACTAGATCATTTAATGTTAAGCAGGCCATTTGAAAGCCTAATAAAGAGCATTAATGTGAATGAGCCCAACATGACAGAGGTTGCTAACAAACTCTCATGTCATTGTCCATAAGCAAAGGTTTAATAGTGACTGCCTCACAGAGAAGATGCCTTAGGAAAACCTTGTCGATGGTTATGTAAACTAAGTAATTCTAGCAAAAAGGAGAGGCATGAAACCGGGTATTAAAATTTAAGTTACTATCACAGTTCTTTCCTTTTTCCCTTTCATGATTTAAAAACTTGAGTGTTTTGTGTAATGACCATAAGAAAAAAGCTGGACTTTATTTTTTATTTTTTTAAACTCTTTATTCATGGATACCATTTGGAGTTATGACAGTACTTCCGGTAAGTAAAATTGTTTCTTGCTGAGTACAAATATAAAAATTGCTTAACCATATAGTCTTTGTATATAGAAAGTATCTTTTCCTTGACTAAGGTAGATTAGAATGTGTGCTTTGTTATGCCTTTTAATCATGTTTTGCATTTGATAATGAACCCCCTGTTAAATTCTCAGATTTAATACAAGTAAAAACTGAAACTGAGGAACTCTACACAACAGCATTCTTTGGATGTTTTTTTTTTCCGTATTTCAATATTGTAAGCCTTTTAATGTATTGACAGCTCTGATCATTATACAAAGATAATGTTTGCTATGGCCCATTGAAATAAAAGGCAGGTTTTTATTTTATTTTATTTTTAAAGAGAGGAAGGAAGGAGGGAGGGAGGGAGGGAGGGAGGGAGGGAGGAAGGAAGGAAGGAAGGAAGGAAGGAAGGAAGGAAGGAAGGAAGGAAGGAAGGAAAGATGGAAAGATCTATGTGAAACACTGATAGGTTGCTCTGGCACATGCCCCAACTCGGGATGGACCCATAACCTTTTTGGTTTACAAGATGACGCTCCAACCAACTGAGCCACCCAGCCAGTCAAAAAGTAGGAATTTTTTTTTAAGTTTATTTCTCCTGTTATTTAATTTGAGACAGTTTTTTTTTAATATCATGGTTTTTTTGTTTGTTTTGTTGTTGTTATTCCTCATGAAAGATATTTTTTTCCATTGATTTTTAGATAGTGGAAGGGAGGGGGAGAGAGACAGACTGACATTGATGTGAGAAAGGCACATCGATTGGTTGCCTCCCATGTGAGCCCCAACCAGGGCCAGGTATCGAACCTGCAACCCAACGAGCCCTTTTCCAGGTAATCAAACCTAAGACCCTTCAGTACTCAGGCCAGTGCTCTAACCACTGACCCACACCTGCCAGGGCTAAAATATCACATATTTTTAATTTATATTAACATGTTACCTTTTACCTTCCAGAATATTTGGGTAGTCATTTAAATGATTGACACTTGAGTATACATATACGGCTATATACAGCTGCTGAACTATATATATAATTGAATCTAAACTTTCTCAAACATTTTGGTGGGATTTCATCAGGATTTAATTGGACATTTTAGTCAAAATATCTATAGGAGTCAGTTGTTGAATGGACTCTTTTCCCTCCTTTTGAAACTTCCGTCTGCTTTCCAGATCTCAGGCACCAGGAAAGAAACCCAGAGTTTTTTACCCTCAGCACATCCCAGCAAAGAATTTTCACAGAAAATATACCAATCTTACTGTTTTTTATAGGCAAATAATTCCACCTTGGCTGGAAAAATAAAAGGCACTCTTTTGAGGATGTTTGCATATTAATATTTTCTACAAACCCTTGGTTTTAGTTTTGATTATTTTAGTAGTTTTTTTATGCATTATTTAAAATTCATTTTTTTGTGATAGGTTAAAAGTTGTGTGGCAATTAGAATATATTAGGGCTCTATAAAGTTTTCTGAATATTAAGTTTAAGGAAGAAATTAGTAACTATTTAATTGAAAGTCTTGTATTTTCTTTTTATATTTTTCTAATTTCAGGAAACAAATGGAGACTCAGATAGGTGCTCTGATACTGGCCACAGACATCAGTCGCCAAAACGAGTATCTGTCGTTGTTCAGGTCCCATTTGGATAGAGGTGACTTATGCCTGGAAGATGCCAGACATAGGCATTTGGTTTTACAGGTAAAACGGGGCGTAGAGAGGTGTGCAGGAGGCAGCTGATCGATGTTTCTCTCTCATCGATGTTTCTAACTATCCCTCTCTCCCTTCTTCTCTGTGAAAAATCAATAAAATATATTTAAAAAAAAAAAACCGGGGCTTGGAAAGATTCTGTTTCTGGGGTAAATCATGTGACTATTAGACTAAAGATGAAATATTCTAGTGTTGTGTTCAGAGTGGGTACGTCTGAGAGATTGCTGTGGGTTTCCTTCCCGGAGGGAGAGCCTCCTCCCCCGGAGAGCACCGTCGATTGGCATTGTTCACACTCGGGATTCCTAACAAAAACAGGTTTTGCAAGAGCATTTTGTTTTAGTAAGTTCTCACTTATTAAAGTTTAAGAAAAAAATTGACAGGAATTGGGTAATTATTTGTAACTTTCTGGTTACTCCAGGCCATGTGCCTGGCTGTACAGTTAGGTTTGCAGTCTTGAAGCATTTCTGGAGAAATGGTTGGTAGACCTAATAGGGTCATAAAAGTAACATAAAAAATGAATTTTCTGTGGCAGTATTTCCTCCTTTTTTAAAGGTGTTGTTTTGCCACTATTAGAGTAGATTTAAACTTATTACCTTTGGAATTTTACTTTTTTCTTAAAACAACATTACTGTTTTGCTTGCTAGATGGCTTTGAAATGTGCTGATATTTGTAACCCGTGTCGGACCTGGGAATTAAGCAAGCAGTGGAGTGAAAAAGTAACAGAGGAATTCTTCCATCAAGGCAAGTTACAGTATCGAATGCTAATTAATCTACTCAGCTCATTTTCTTAGCATCATATGAATAAAATAACTCGGACATTTATAGGAGGCTAGTGGTAGATACTTGCTATTTTTAGTGACAATTTACAGTAGATGCACAGATAACCAATAACGAACAGACTGAGCATGTTCTGTAAATTAGCAGTTCTCTTCAAATCGTCAGGGTGCCTGCTTTTATGAATGACATCCATCAGGTTGGAAATTTTGCTGACCTCACCCCTCCTGGGCTGTGTGGAGGGAGTGGCCATATGAACATATAAGACGTTTTTGTGATTTAAACCCAGGAACCAAGGATCTTCATTTCATGCACCTTCCTTTTAGAAACCTAGGATTTAAATTAAAATGCTGGCAGAACCACATGTTGGGGTAGCACAACTGGTAGAAGTCTTCCCCCCCCCATTGGAGACCGGCTGTGCCATGTGTGAGTGACGCGGAGAACCACCTGGGAGGCTGTCCTCTCGGGAGTAAATACGTTGCCTTTTTCTAAGGAACGGACAGGCGAGCTGTGGGCTTCAGTGACAGGCGGGAGCTGTGCTCCACAGTAACAGTCTGTCTCTCGTTAATTCCTAGGAGACATCGAGAAGAAGTACCAGCTGGGTGTGAGTCCGTTTTGTGATCGTCAGACTGAATCTATTGCCAACATCCAGATTGGTAACTATACGTAGATACGGGCCAGTTAGAAAAGTGCCACTGATTATAACTTTGTCAAGAAAAAGAGACACTTGAAATATAGGATACTACGATTTTGCTCATTTAAACAATCCCAAATTTTACTCTTGTCTTCTTTTGCTCTTATAATTACTCTCATTTGATTATAGGTTGTAAAACATAATTTTTGCAGAACATGTAACAGCTCCTTTTTTGTGTGTTCTAAAGTGGAAATACGCTTTTGCCTCGTGGAAGCTTTTTGCATAATTCTGGGGCATGAAAAGGGGACCCCTGTGCTGAGTGTGATGTGAGAGCAGTTGGCACTGCCTCCTCCTCTTGGTTATCACGGCCGGGTGGTCACAGTACCTCCTCCACCTCTCGCACGGGCCTCTTGAGATCTTGCCTCGATTTGTCCCTTCAGTCTTTGCCCCAACAACTTGCCCTCATTCACCCAGAGCAGCCTAGGACCCTCCAGGGGCCCCCAAGTCCACGCTGCGCCTTCAGCCTCATGGGCTCCTTTTCCTTGTCCTGTCCCCCGGGCAGGCAGCGTCCCCTCCCGGACTCTCAGGGCCCTCCTGGCCTTGGTGATGTGCTCCTGAGCCAGCGCTGCAGCAGGGCTGAGGCACTGAGAGCCATGAGGGACCGCAGCTGGAGGAAGAAGCATTAGGAGGCTGCTGTGATGGGCGCTGTGCAGTGGGCGTGGGGGGTAACCCAGCAAGGTTTCGAGGAATGACTCATTTTGGTCGCTGGTATGCAGTAGGGCCTTTGAGAATTAGACTGAACATAGTGAAATGTGTACACAGATTTTAGAAAGATAAAGTTTCTAGAAAGTCAGCAGATAGCATAATACTGTGGCATAAGACTCTGAAAAGAGGACTGCGTTAGGCTCAGATTCAGAAATGTAATTCCTGTGTCACGGCAAAGGGTCCCGTGTGGAAGACAGTGGGTAGTACCTGACTTGCCTGCGGAGGGATGGTGGAGATGCGTCTGTGGGAAGGGGCTGTGGCACAGACGGGGTTGGGGGAGGCGGGAACGCGGCTCGGCCAGGAAAACTGAGGTTTTCAGAGGGTAAGACAGAAGGTAGATCTGCTCTGGCTCTCAATAGGTGGCATGCAGGCAGAGGGAACGGAGGCCAGGGGAACGGGTCGCCAGCTCACTCTAGCTACTTTGAATGGCTTTGCCTAATGGGAGAACTTGCAAATGAGGTTTCTAAAAGATGCAGTATTTAAAAGGGAAAAGGAGCCAGATGCCTTAAACCAGTGGTTCTCAACCTTCCTGATGCCGAGACCCTTCAATACAGTTCCTCATGTTGTGGTGACCCCAAATTTCATTGTTACAAATTGAACATAATTAAAGCATAGTGATTAATCACAAAAACAATATGTCATTATATATGTGTTTTCCGAGGGTCTTAGGCGACCCCTGTGAAAGGGTCGTTCGACCCCCAAAGGGATCGCGACCCACAGGTTGAGAACCACTGCCTTAAACTGTTCCGTAGGTCTTGTCAGTGTTGGAAAATTCTGGAATGGATTATCAGAGGGGCAGGGATAGGTAAATGATAGTAATAGTTCACCTCTCCTGACTCCACAACCGCCACAGGACAATGATGCTGGTATTCTCTTGTTCAGATAGTTTGTTTGCCCAGTTAATACAGTTAACAGGGGTTGGGCTTTCTGATGTCAGTCCCCAGGTAAAGGGGGCTTAGGAAGATTCTATTTCTGTGGTAAGTCATGTGACTGTTAGAACAGATTCTGTGCTAAGCAGTGATTACTGGGAGCCAGCACAGTCAGTACATAGAAGTCATGTTTCATTAATAGCGTTTCCTTGACCGAGAATATCACGTACTGGTAAGAGCAAGGCATTCAGCCAGGTATCCATAGGGCCTGTGCGGATGCTCGAGAGCGTGGCTAGTGCAGGTCGGCGGATTCACAGGCGGCTGAGCAGCTGGCGGAGTCCTGCCGTCCGTGTAGGTGCTGCATGGCTGTGTCCACGGCCCCAGCCTATTCATTTTTATCAGCTACTTAAGACCTAAAATACATTTAGGTTAACACAGAGCCAGAAGTGGTAGTTAATGTGTCTGATATTAGAGGCAACCGTTTGGAAGGAGGAGTCATGGGAAGCCCGTGATCATGAGGCTCTGGGTTTGGTGCCAAACTCCAGCTGCTTGTGCCTGAGCGTGGCCCCCGGAAGAGACGGCGCTGGGTGGCTGGCCCTGCCTGGCCCTGGAGTGAGGACGGCACCCAAAGCTGCCGTTTGGTGCTGTGGAGGCATCTTTTTGTGTTTGTCTCCTTCTCACAGAACGCAACTCCTTGAGGGCAGATCTGTGGCCTTATTCACTGCTCTACCCCGGCCGCCCAAGACAGTGCCGGCACTGAGTAGGCTCTCAGCTGCTGTGTGTGAGGGAAACAGAAGAAATGGAAGAAAGCCTTATTTCTGACCCGGCCGCTATTTCAGATCCCAGCACTTGTACACTTAAGGAAAGTCAGCCATCAGACCATACCTGACTTTCTAATTAACAGTAGTGGGTGCTGCCTGCTCTAGTGAGATTTGTTGGCTGAATGGAACCTGTGTTTTCTATGGTCAACATGGTCTTTTGCTGTAAAGACAAGGTTTTAGAGAAGAAAAATTAAAAGCTGGGTTACACAAGCAGTGATAGAATTTGGATGTACATTTTCCCTGTCCTTAACAGATCAAAAGTTAGGAAGATAGCCCTAACCAGTTTGGCTCAGTGGATAGAGCGTCGGCCTGCGGACTGAAGGGTCCCAGGTTCCATTCCAGTCAAGGGCAGGTACCTGGGTTGCGGGCACATCCCCAGGGGTGGGGTGTGTGCTGGAGGCAGCTGATCGATGTTTCTCTCTCATTGATGTTTCTAACTCTCTATCCCTCTCCCTTCCTCTCTGTAAAAAGTCAATAAAATATATATTTTTTTAAATGTTAGGAAGATAATGTTATTTGTTTCTCCTAATATATGTTATTTCATTGATGAGGCATTTTCTGGGAGGCTTCCCCTCCGCCTGCCCCCACCTCCCGGTGTAAGATACTCTATAGCATTAAATCAGACATAAAGTACACTGGAGGTGCAAACAGTCCTGAAATCACTCCTTTTCTGACTGTGAATTGAGGAGATCAGTATAGGAGTTCTTTATAAAGTAGGACCCTGGTACACTTTTGATGTCCACTTTAATAATTGCTTTAATCTCCTCTGTTCTTTTTAGACTCATAATTTTTGTCAGAAATTTGGGCTTGTGTGAATTCTGAATTAAATAAAAGGGCTTATAGTCCTAACCAGTTTGGCTCAGTGGCTAGAGCATCGGGCTGGGGACTGCAGGGTCTCAGGTTCAATTCCGGTCAAGGGCATGTACCTTGGTTGCAGGCTCCTCCCCAGAATGGGCCCTGGTCAGAGTGCATGCGGGAGGCAACCAGTCAATGTGTTTCTCTCACATCGATGTTTCTATCTTTCCCTCTCTCTTCCATTCTCTCTAAAAAATCAATGGGAAAATATCCTCGGGTAAGGATTAAAAAAATAAAAAATAAAATGGCTTATTGTAATCATGACAGGTGTGAAGATTACCATTCCTGCGGTGTAAAGCGGGTCACCCCAGCCCCCTGCAGTTCTAGCCCGTCCCTGCAGTGCTGGCGTAGCCCCCTCTTGGCCTCCAGCCGCCTCCTGCCGCCTCCTGGCAATGCCCTGCGTGGCGCTTCCCGTCCTCAGCCAGCATGGCCTCTGTTTGCTTCCATAAAAGGTCGCGGTTGTGCAGCTGAGAGGAGCCATCAGAACAATTTGATATATTTGTCAGTTCACCCTTAATTTGCTTAAGAAATAGATTCTTCAGAAAAGACTTGTAAATTTACATACAAAAAACCTTTTGAAAAATAAGGCTTAGGTAACATTGGAACAGGACTTGAGAGTAAACACTGTAGAGACATTTTAAAGATAAAGTTTCAGCCCAGCCAGCGTAGCTCAGTGATTGAGCATCGACCTATGACCCAGGAGGTCACAGTTTGATTCCAGTCAGGGCACATGCCCAGGTTGGCCGACTCCATCCCCATTGTGGGGCGTGCAGGAGACAGCTCATCAGTGATTCTCTCTCATCATTGACGTTCCTATCTCTCCCTCCTTTCCTCTCTGAAATCAATAAGAATATATTTAAAAAAAATAAAGTTTCAGAACATGCGTTGATACCTTTTTCTCTTTTTTCTTAAGGTTTTATGACATACCTAGTGGAGCCTTTATTCACGGAATGGGCCAGGTTTTCCAATACCAGGCTGTCCCAGACGATGCTCGGACACGTGGGGCTGAACAAAGCCAGTTGGAAGGGACTGCAGAGAGAACAGCCCAGCAGTGAGGACAGCGAAGCTGCACTCGAGGAGCTGAACTCATAGTATTACCTCAGGAAACCGGTTGTCATAACCCAGAACCGGGGACAGGCTGCCCCCTGGAGGTTAGAAGGTGGCATGGGGGCTGGAGGTGAGGGAACTGACTCGGCTGCAGGTTTCCGGGTGGATGGTGCCAGGATTTCCTCTGCCGGCCACTTGAACCCACTTTTGAATTATGAGGCCTGAACACAGCAATATGGATGCAGCCAGCTTGTGAAACCTGATCTGCAAAGCCTGCGGGCGTGACTCCAAAGGAGACGCAAAGGAAGTTCTGCCGAGTGCCAGGTGTTGCTCAAAGCATCTACTCTGCAAACATGAAACTTGAACTGAACCTTTCAGCAGAAATCTCTTGGAATCTAACCAGTCTCACGCAGCCTCGTGTGTCTGTTCCTCCCTCTAAGGTCTCCGAAAAACGGAAATGTGAAGTGCCCAGCTCTGCTGCCTCTGGCCAGACTTGATGTTTACAAATCCACTCTGAAATCCTGGTTCTACATCTGCCTTGGAGCGTAATTGCTAAGGAACCACTAAGATTTTAAAGATCAAACTTTCAACTGCAGCTCCTTCCCCCTGGTTTGCCTTTCTTCTCCTTTGGATGCCACCAAGCCTCCCGTTTGCCCTGGTTTTATTTGTGCACTGAAAACTGTGCACTACCACAGCGTGCGCCACGCTTTCCCGCCAGTGCTGTTTGGCAGTGCACCCTTTTTAACGCTTAGTTTTAATTTGGGGCGGGAGGGGCAGAGCACCGGTGTCCTAGCTGTATTATGATTCCGCAGTGGAGACATTGCATGTTGTTTTCACTCCTGTACACTTGACCTGCACATGCAAGAAAAGGTGGAATGTGTAAAACACCATAATCAGCTCAGGGTATTGCCAATCTGAAATAAAGTGGGATGGGGAAGTGTGTCCTTCAGAGCAAGGGTCCTAAAGCCCCTTTCGCTGCAGTGAGAGGTATGTTGTGTGTGGATGGGCGGATGTGTGTCTGTGTGCATGTTGTGCATGTGTGACTGTGCATGTGTTCTATTTATCCTTGTGGGAGAGGATTGGACATGGACGCTTTTATTTATATTAGAATGTGACGTGAGCAGCCACACCTGGGGGCGGGGGGAGGGAGCTGTAACAGATTGCTCCAGTTGCCTTAAACTATGCACAAAGCTAAGTGACCAAACTTCTTGTTGTGATTTGAAAAAAGTGCATTGTTTTCTTGTCTCCCCCCTCTCCCTTTTTTGATGAAACGTGACCCTTTGATGGGCCTTTTGATGTGAACAGATGTTTTCTAGGACAAAAACCTAAGGACTAATTTTAAACTTAAAACATTCCACTTTTGTAATTTGTTTTAAATTGTTTTATGTATAGTAAGCACAACTGTAATCTAGTTTTAAGAAAAACCAGTGCTTTCTTTTAGTTCAATTGTATTTCCCTTGTTACTGTAAAAGACTGTTTATCAATTATGTTTACAGTTTGTTGCAACAGCCATTTTCTTGGGAGAAAGCTTGAGTGTGAAGCCATTTGTAAAAGGCTTTGCCATACTCATTTTAATATGTGCCTGTTGCTGTTAACTTTTGATAAATAAAAAGCTACCTTTTCACATTTTATCTTTGATATTTACCTTATAATCAGTCCTTTGGAAATCATAATGCTAAATTTCTAGGAAACCAAAGCTGTAGCTTCTTGGCTGTAGCATTCACACATCAGCTGTGTGTTCAGGCAGAGCTGGGTGCAGGCACAGTCCTCTGGGGTGTCCTGCACCTCACCGCTGAGCAGGCTGAGGCCGCGGTTACCACGTCTGCTCAGAGGCCAGCTTTTGAGCCCAGACCTCTCGACCCCACACAGCCTTTTGTTCCCACAGTTGGAAATTGCATAAGACTCAGCACCTCTTGCAAGTACTGCAGTACTACTTACTTGTATTGGCCTTCTTATAGTAATAAGAAATGGCCACTTAATTTTACTTGATTGATATCAACATTAGAAGGGTTCCACTGGGCCTCTTCTGTACAAGTCCAGTTCCATAGAAGGGATGCAGTGCTGATTCTAAAATCCCATTGTCATTATTGGCATAGAAGAGTGACACCCAATAGAAATATAATGTGAGCCACTTAAGTGATTTTCTTTCTTTTTTTTAATATATTTTATTGATTTTTTACAGAGAGGAAGGGAGAGAGATAGAGAGTTAGAAACATCGATGAGAGAGAAACATCGATCAGCTGCCTCCTGCACACTCCCCACTGGGGATGTGCCCGCAACCTAGGTACATGCCCTTGACCGGAATCGAACCTGGGACCCTTCAGTCGGCAGGCCGACGCTCTATCCACTGAGCCAAACCGGTTCTGGCTATATGTAATTATTTCAATATGTAATTATCAAAAGCAATTGGAGATTTAAATTTTTTTTTTTTTGGTACAGTGTTTGAAATGTGGTATTTTACACTTACAGTGCATCTCAGTTCATAGTAGCCACATTTCAAATGCCCAATATCCACGTGGGGTAGTGGCTACCATATTGGACAGTGTGGGCACAGAAATCTGATGGTGGCAAAGCTGGATGTTTCTTAGAAAAGTCAACTGGCCAGTCATGAGATGGCATCACCTTGGTAAATTGGATAATCCAAGATTTTTTATTATTATTGATTTCAGAAAAGAAGGGAGGGAGAGACAGAGAAACATCAATGATGAGAGAGAATCACTGATCAGCTGCCTCCTGCACACCCCTGAGGATCGAGCCCACAACCCGGGCATGTGCCCTTGACCGGAATTGAGCCCAGGACCCTTCTGTTCACAGTCCAATGCTGTATCCGTTGGGCCAAACAGGCTAGGGCTGCATCCAAGATCTTTAAAGCTTCATATTCCTGGTGTGTCAGCACATGGAAAGTGGAACTATCTCATAGCAAACTCACATGGACAAAGCTCACAGTAACTGATGTGTTTAAAAAGTGTTAATATTTAAATTTACAATGGGATATGTAACTGTCAATCATTCTCTCTCTTTAGGCAGATCTTCTTGGGAAGCCAGATTGTGATCAGCCGGTTACTTGGTGAGCAATGATTCTGAGCAAGGGAAGCAAGTTGCCTCATGCATCCGTCTCCCTGTGGGGCCATCCCTGCTGATGCCGTGTTTATGGAACAGGGTTCCCTCTTCCTGTGGACGATGCTAGAGGTTCTCTGCCATTCGCTGCTTCACATCAGCTTCTGATGGGCACTTTCAGTAGATTTGTCAGTACCTTCAGCCTTGTCTCCTTTGAACTGGCCTGGGCTCCATCTGCCTGTGTCTGGTCAATTGCTTTTGCTCTGATCCACTGTTTCTTACTGATATTCAAAGGATTGTTTTATTTCCACTCTCAGGGGGAGACTTCTCAGTATTGCTCTCATTTCCTGCCTAACACATAATAAATTTTTTTGTTACGTTACCTATATGTGGGAATCACTGTCTATACTGCTTTTTAACATATGACCTATGTTCCTTGAGCATTAATTTTCTAGAAAAATTTCTAGAAAAATTTGAGAAAACAGTTCAATAATTTAGAAGATCACATTTGAAATAATTAGCTATATTATGGGATGGAATGCAAAATGTTAAAGATAAAACAGGAGACTTCAAAGAATTGTTGAGCATAATGTAGCCGCCCATTGGGGCTCCAGGCCCAATTCTCCATTTGTGGGGGCATCTGCTATGCTTGGAGGTAAAGGCCCTTGGAGAGAGAATTTTGGTCAGTATTTACACACTCTGTAAATGTGATGATTCATAATGATTCTCTGTATAAAAAAACTATTTTAAGTCCTTTGCAAACCTGGGAAATATATTTGTACCTAACATACAGGTTTAGAGGTGCTAATAGTTCTTTGAAGATTCCTGTAACAGTCTCTTTTTCCAAAATGCTTTCTTGTCTCTTAAAGCTTTCACTTTTCTTAAAACTTTAAAACTTTCACATCAGAGATTTACAGTGTTTTCATCTGCACTTTTTTAAATGTATGAATATTTTGTTTAAATCCCCTCCTAATCAGTACCTCTTTGCTTGGGAAAATATATGACTGATAGCTACTGTGCATTTAGTAATGTTTTTAAATAAATGTGCATCTTAAACACCATTGGATCAGCAGACAAAGCAAAAGTTTGTACTGATATGTGCAAGATGGAGTCTGAGCCACTCCTTGCTTGCTGTGGATCTGCAGACAGCCTGTCTTCTGGAAGGCCCCAGAGGTCCACGTGGAATGACAGGGGGTGAGCTGACTGGAGTGTCTGGGAAAGGGGGCGGGAGACAAGTTCTCCATTTTGTCTGGTGCTCAGCATAGGGCTCGCATAAATTGGGCCATTAGTAAGTGGTTGTTGGATAAATAACTTGGTGGTTTAATTGTGTTAACTTTTTAGCTATCAAGAGAAATTATACTGAAAACTAGTTTGTTTATGCTGAAGTTATGTGGTAAGCAATACCCAAGTTCCTGTTGTGTGCAGAGCACTGCGCTGGATGAAATAAAGGTATTAAAAGTTCCAGAACATGGTCTCTGTTATCAAAGTGTTTTGGGTGACAAACTGGTGTGTGAAGTGTTTGTTATTCAATATGGCAGGTTTCCACATTGTACAAATGAATGCAAGGTGTTAGTGTTTAGAATGAATGGTTCAGTTCATTAATTTTCTTCCATATTGTCTGCTTTGTTTCCAATGCTTTCTAATCATTTTCCATCTCATTTATTGAATTCTTCAGCTCCAGAATTTGGTTATTGTCTCGATCACTTTGGTAACGTACTTCTGTTCACTAATTTTATTCCTGAGTTCCTTAAACTGCCTTTCTGAGTTTTCTTGGATCTTCCTGGTTTTTGTCATGACTGCGATTTTGAATCCTCTGGCATTTAGATCACAGTCTTCCATGACTTTGAGTTTGATTGCTGAAGAATTGTCTTTTTCTTTGTTACTGTGTTACCTGGTTGTTCATGTGATTAATGTGTGGTGCATCTGAAGTAGTGAGCACCTTATTTCAGGATGATACTTAAAAGGTCTTTCGTTTCAGGAGATGGCTGTTTGTAGGGCAACTTTGTCTCTTACCTGTGCTACTTACACCCCTGCAGTGGTGGTGGTGGTGATGGGGTGTCCCTGCTGTGTCTGGGTCACCTATGGAGGATAACATGGCTTGGAGAGGGGGGCAGATTTGAGAACTGTGGCACTTTTCTCTGGTTCCCTGTGGTCAGAAGCCATGGATGCATCTCTGCTGCTGCTACTGGGCTCCGCCACAATCAAGGGAGGGAGCCAGGTTTTCGGGCACCAATGCTGCTTCTGCCTCTTATCCTCCCTGGGGGCTGGACCCCAACTCCTCCACCTCTACATTAGCTGGAGCTGCTGGCTTAGCCCCAGTGGCAGGGGAACCAAGTCTACAGGCACTGTCCCTGCCCTTCCCCCTATCCTGCCTCCCCTGTAAACTGATGTGTGGGTCTCGTGGGTGTGCTAGTGTGTGGAGCAAAGAAACCGTTGTTGTGTTACAGATGTCCAAACAGGTGCGGATTTCAGAGGAAATACAAAGGGGGTCTTCTCCACTGTGGTGCTGGCTGTATTTTTTTTTTAATCCTCACCCGAGGATATTTTCCCATTAATTTTTAGAGAGTGTAAGAGAGAGGGAAAGACAGAAATATCCATGAGAGAAACACATCGATTGGTTGCCTCCTGCAAGTGCCCCGACCAGGGCCTGGGCCAGGAGGAGCCTGCAGCCGAGGTATGTGCCTCTGACTGGAATCAAACCCAGACCCTTCAGTCCGCAGGCTGTCACTCGAGCCACTAAGCCAAACCGGCTAGGGCACTATGATTTCTTAAAAATCTTTATCTCAGGATGAGGATATGTTTTTATTGATTTTTTTTTTAAAAGAGAAACACCAGTGTGAGAAACACCAATCGGTTGCCTCTAGCCCCAACTGGAGATTGAACCTTCAATCTAGGTATGTGCACTGACTGGGAATTGAACCCACAACCTTTGGTGCACAGGACAACATTCCTACCAACCTAGCCACCTGGCCACAGCTGAGATTCTTCAGCATAAATTTTACGTTTATTGTTTTTTTAAAAAATACATTTTTATTGATTTCAGAGAGGAAGGGAGTGCGAGAGAAATATTGATGATGAGAATTATTGATCGGCTGCCTCCTGCTGGAGATTGAGCCCACAACCTGGGCATGTGCCCTAACCTGGGTTCAAACTCTGACCTCCTGGTTCATGTGTCAGTGCTCAACCACTGAGCGACACTGGTTGGGCTAAGTGTTTGTTCCTGAGCCATATCCTATAAAGAATCAGGAGGCTGCATGATATCCCAAGTTCTTTATTTTAGCTGAAATTTATATATCTAACTTTCTGAAGGAAGTGCCCTTAAAGGAATGTTTAAAGTTCCTAGTCAAACATTTGAATTTTCACCTAAGAATCATCACAAGACAGGGGGTTAGTTTTCCATTGTGGGGAACAGAGACACCCTCAGATTTCTTCAGGCTTCCTGGGGCTTTGTCCTAAGGACCCGTGTTCGTGGGAATGGAGACAAACCTGTGAGGGCTGCTGGGAGCCAGCCCTATGGTCTGGCCATTCTAAGGTGCAGCTGCTCATTCCTCCCACTCATCTGGCTTTTGTCTCTTCACCTTGCATTTCTGCTTAAAAAGGCAGCATAAAGTAGTTTTGAAAAGTTTTTATAGCTAGACAGACCTGGGTCTGGGTTTTTGTCATTTATTAGCTGGAGTTCCTTAGGCAAGTTACCTAATCTTTTAAGTGGCTTCCTAACCTGTAAAATTTGTTTAAGAGTAATGTATTGATACATAGTTAAGTGCCAAACAAATGGCCTAATTCATTTCCTCGTAATGTTTTGTAAAAATGGCTCAGGGACATACATAGCTGTCCTACGTGACATCCTAATTTGAGCTCCAGGTACCAACAAGCCCTCTGTCCAAGTTTCCTGTTCAAATGCCTGAGGAGACTCTGGTTAGACCAGCTTATCAAGGCTGTGTTCCTGGTCACCGACCAGTCTGAGGGTTACCAGGTATTCCTTTCCAGAAGGGAAGGGAAGGCAGAGGTTCGGATGCTGGGCAGTTTGCCTTCGAGTGGGTTAAGGACTATTCAGATAACCTGACCCCCAAGATCAGGCTCATGTGTTCCCCTACCCATGTTGCTAACACCAACATTTCAGATGACTTCCCAACCAGAGTAGTTCTCACCCTTTAATAAAAAGCAAACCTGGCCATGAGGCAACAATAACAGCAGACTTTCCACAGCTCCAGTAAAATCCTGTAAGGAAGAGTCTGGCCTTGCTCCCAGAGTAAGGCTTCTCCCGTTAGGAAGAGAGCGGTCATGAGGGACTGCCCTGTGGTAGCTGCTTGGTGTGGAATGGGAGGCACCATTTGGTTTCCTTGTTGTTTACCTTCCTGAGAATGTCTACATGACACTCATGTTCTCCAGCCTTCTGTGACTTCAGAAGGGGCCGGAGCACCTGCCAGAGAAGTTCCCACTGTGGGAACATTCAGGCATCTAGCACACAGGAAGTGGGTTAAGGATGACAGTCTCACAGGGAAACACACCATTTCTGGATCCTTCTTTGGTGATACTATTTTTATTATCTGTTCTCAAGTGACTGCACTGGTACCAATAAAGAACTAGCCTGCTTACAAGATTGACAAGGAAGAACTAAAAATAATTTTAAAAAAGAGGTTTAGTGGAGGAGCTCAGAATGTTGAATCTCTAAGACGAGAAGGGGAAAGGACTCAGGAATGGCTGAAAGCCCATGAGAAATAACTGTGACAACAGTCATTAAACCAAGCATCTCGCTCTGCCTGGCCATGCCAGACCTGACTTTATCGGGTTAAAGCCTGAAAGTTTAGGTAAGTTACCAGGAGGATGGTTTTTCCAAAGTACTTGTTCTTGGTATTTGTTACCTTTTGATGTTGTATCTACCGCTTACTCACAGGAATTCACAAGAGGACAGGCTTTCTCTACAGAAGAGCCTATGACCTGGGAGACAACTAGAACTAAAGACTAAGTCCTCCACCCTAAGCCTGTGCAGGTGCCAGAATTCAGTCTACTGGAAACCAGTGACCCCGTATAAAATGATGTAAGTTACAACTTATTTAGCATTCTGCTAGAGTGTGTTCAAAATCATTATTTCATTTAATCTCAATTTTTTGAACTGAGCATTATTCCCATTTTAAAAAACAGAGGTGTGACTTGGCTGGGATCACATACCGCAGATCATGTATACTCCAAGTCCAGTCTTCTCTGACTCAGGCTGTGTGTGTGTGTAGTGAGCCCTGGACTAGTCAGAATTAAACTATTTTTAAGATCATTCACTTCTGAGAGAACCAGAAACTGAAGGCGGAGGGCGCAGGCAAAAAAAGATGACAGCAACCCCAGAGGTGATGGGTGGAATGCTGAGGAAAGTCACCCCAAGTGACTGCCCTGTTTTAATGCTGAAATCCCTTTGAGAGAAAAGTGAAGGAGGAACAACGTAATTTATTCTAAGAAATACATTACCACTTGAAAAACGTAGAAAGCAAATGACTCATAAGCTCCTGTGTAATATAAAAGAATCTACCTATCATAAAAAAGAAAAGAAAAATATATATAGTCCATGGACAAAGTTTTCTTTATTTCAAAACAGTAACTTCCTTCTATTGGAGCACTGGCCAAAATTCAATACTGATACAAATGTAAATTTCTTAGGTCAAAAATATGTGTGCCAGGTGAACTTCATGAATTTCGTTTAAGGGCAGAATTTTTAAAGCATATGAAACAATTAGAAACAATGTACATAAACAGCAGTTCAAATTTAAGCTGAATAACGAAACCATGTAAATTATCTCAACTAATATTTGCTAACATCTAAAACATTGCACATATTTTCAATAACTTAAAAGTTAGGGTCTTATCTGCTCTTTTCATCTCCCACCCTGTAGAGGAAATACAATTTTAAATACTATTTACTCATGGTAGGAGATTCTGGCATTAACTATAGCTGAGTTTAACAGAAATAATCATGAAGATTTATCAAGTATTTAAAAATGATCACTTGTAGCAATTCATTAGAAGCACTAGGTAAGAAAGACAGTTCTCCACTTTCTAACAGCTAAGGTTTATGACACATAATGTAATTCAACAGAACAGCATTCTGACTGATGATGAACACCTTATAAGACATGTTTTTGCCTATTCAGTGTTCCATTTTAAAGCTACTTATTTTACCAATGTTAAAAGTTTTAAATTCCATTATGCCAACAATTTCCAGAAGTATTAACTTAGTAACAAGTCATTTTTATGATGCCATTTATTAAACTGAAAGAAAAAGATGGAATATTCTGGGTTTTATTTGAAAAGAGATTTAATTTAATTCAATGCTTTGATTACTCCCTGTTTGCAAACTACCTTTTCTTCCTCAGAATGGATGGCAGTGAGCATTATCTAGAGTTCCTACTCAAACCCCATCTCCAAGAAAATGTGAGAGGAAATCTAAGATTAAAGATCTGTTTGAGGTAAGAAGATTCCAATCTCGTTCTAACAATATCTCATTCCAACAAACTGTCATGCCAGCTCTTCCGTCAATGACTAGTAAAATGGTCAATGAAAACAAATAGCAGCACCCTCATTATATAATTTTACATAGACTGCCTATATCCAAGTATATGCATATGGAACACTTGTACAGATAAATTAGTGTTGAGTTTAAAACATCCATCTACAAATGTCCTTTCTTCATTCTGAAATCCATATGTTTTCAAAACTGGAAGCCTAAACATCCTGACTATACACTAAAAACATATTACATCAGAATATAAGTATGTTCTGGAAAACTTCAGAACTGGCCTGATAGAGTGCCTTTGCTAGTGCTTAATCCTCTAGGTAGAGTTAAAAGGAGACTACTGAATGTTAAATTCAGGTATTTACTAAACAGTGTTGATTTCTATTAGCCAAATGGGCCTAACAAACCAACAGCTGAACCAGGTTTCTCAGGAATTTGAAACATTTTCAATTAAAGCCTTCATTTTTCCTGTAGACTTCAACATGTGTGGCCCAAACTGGAAAACAAGCAAAGTATAAATAAATATATTGGTTCATATAACAATAACGATATACCCCTTCCCAAACATAAATCAAAGGGCTGGTATGTTCTAAATGAGAAAAAAAAAAAAAAAAAGCAAAGCAGTCAGATTTAAAAATTTTTAAGAATTGACAGGTCGTTAAAAACATAACAGAATGAAAGGCAGAGAGCTGACCAAGATGCTTCCTAGAAAAGTACAATCATCTTAGCAAGCTCTAATAACTCTACT